ATAACTCTGTCACCTTTTTGTGTTGGTTTATCTTCTATTTGAATCTGTTTCTTGATATGTGGTCCACTCTAATAAATGGTGGTGGTACAGTCCTGGTACCAAAAGAAGGAGATAGACGTGAAAGGACGTGAAAGCGTTTTAAATACACATTTCAAGAAAAAATCGAAGAATTACGAATTAATCCCCTGCAAGCTGCTGCAGCACTTCGTACTGCTATCCAGGAAAATGTACTAGAAGTATTTGCATTCACAGTGTAAGTCGCAGACGACCTAGTTAAATAACTCCATTATTTGTTTACGACTCATACTGGTAGTGACTAATCTTGAAAACGAGTCATTCTAAGATACAGTGCTGACTCCCTACGACCTAGAAGCTCCTTACCTGTCCACAAATCTCTCCTATGTGGCGGTTCACAGCGAGGTACCTCCACATTCCCTCCATCCCAGTCTCACTTCACACGTGGAACACCGACGTCTGCTCCTCTTGCCCTTGTTTGTAGGATGCGGCATGTTGAGCCTGTAGAGAACAGACCTTCTGAATGCAGTCCACAAGGAAGGTAAATCCACCATCTAGCTGTAGACCGTGACAATCCTCCCCGACTGACACTCGGCGCCCTCGTTGAGCCGCTCGGCCTAAAGCAGGTCGCACGGTACTATCAGTAGATGTGACCGGAACGCTCCCCGCCGGCGTTCCACTCGAGGTCTGATGCACAACCTTGACTTCTGACGGCGTTCCCATTGAGACCGGACTCGCAATCGTGATCTCTGATGGCGTTCCATTCGCACGTACTCCATGTAGACGCTCCAAGCGGACTCATTCCCTTCTTCATGACGGCCTATGCGTCCGGCAAACCTATCCCATCCTTGGTTAGCAGTCGAACCAAGTCTAAGTTTGGCGCCACAGCGATACTTCCAGTAGAACCGCATCTCATGGCTATAACAACCAACCCTAAAGACCGCCGCACTTCAATAGCCACACTCAACTGTAAACTCCATGTAGGTATCCAAAATCAACACAACTAGCAGCACACCCATCCAACCGCGTTGCACTTCTTTGATACTTTCGTATATCAATCGGGGCAAGTAAATAAGGATCGACAGCATTAATGACGCCAGTAAGTAGCCACACACTACCCAATCACCGATCCCGTCGACGACTGTCACTGCCGCTTCGCCTGTAGCTCGCACACACTTGTAGGACGACGCCCAATGTAGCCAAATCGCATACGCTTCGCACCATTTCAAACATAAGTGTCCAGTAATTCCAAACCGTGCCTCGTAGTCCCGCCGCACCGCGATCGGAATTAGAGATACCTTCAAAGCTTCCAGATAAGGTACACGTTCCAGTCCCGCCACAAACTTGGTGTATTCCAATCCGAATACGTCTACTGGAGAGGGGTTAGCTAGTTGATCTCCTCCTTGTAGTTCACCAGGGATCGCCGCCTCAAGGGCCTCCCCGACTGGAACGGCAACGTCGGTGGCGTTCCAGGCAGCCGTTCCGCCTGGGTCTGGCGTTCCCTTCCGCCCTAGCGTCTCCTCTACTCTTGTCACACCCAAGGGGGTCACGTCCCCCGTTCCCTTTAACGTCATCGTCCGCTCTTCGAGGGCTATTACCGCACGAAACGCCTTCAACGAATCCGTTCCAAGGATCGCGTCCACGAACAGGTGGTCAGTCACCACGAAAAGGAGCGTCTTCTCCAGCGTTCCGAGTGTCACCGGAAGGTCAATCCCTCCACTGACGCGGATCGCGTGCCCGGATACGCTGTCTAGCGTTTCCAGTGTAGGGTCTGAGTGGCTCCGAAGCACGCCCAAGTCGCCTCAGCATCCTTTTATCGACCAGACTCGCTATGGCGCCCGTATCTGCCAGCATTTCCAACGGGCAGCAGTCAATATAACCGTCCGATAGGGCCTGCATACCCACGACGCTGCAGATGACTCGCTTGCCCTGAGGCACGACGTCGTCGTCGCCCTCCTGATCATCACCGGCGTCCGCCTCGCGCAGCCCAGGCTTTCTTGGCCTCCTCGGGGCTCTACTCGCGCTCACCCTATAAACTTCGGGCGCCTCTTCGGCAACTACGTCCGCTCCTTCCTCGGTCGGCAACCGAAAGGTCACTTTTTTCTGCCTTTTCGTTGCGACGCTCGTCGTGACCGGGTCCACTATTTCTAGCGTTTCTCTCGCCCTGTCGCTCAATTTGATCCGAGAGCTTCAACCTCGCAATAGCGACGGGCCCAGCTCACAGCTAGATCCAGGAACGCCACCTTTTTCGTTCCTCCCACGTCATTGAGGTATTCGCGTAGCGACTCCTCGTCCAGACAATCTCCGGCCTCCTTGTCCCGCAACGGTGGAACGTCATCCTCAGCTCCATCGCTCTCTAAGGCTCTCGGGCCTCTTCGATGAGGACTCTTTTCCTCGTGCCGTTCCCGTTTTAGGTGTTCGTATACTCGGTTACGAATTATGGAACGCCATCTAAACGGCATTGTTCCAGCTTCCAATTCGGGGTTCCAAGAGACCAAGGCGGCAGTTCCATCGAGTCCTACACACACGTTCTGCATGAACTCGCGCCCTTCCTCGTCTCCAGTAGGCACCTCCGTACCCGTACTCTCGTCCTTGTCGCTCGACCATGTGCTCACCACAGGTAGCGACGTTCCTACGGACCCTCCAACCTCCCGGAAATCTCGGTTCGCGCGCTTCGCTTCTGTCGAGGTTTCCAACACGTTGGCGTACCAATCCAGCTAGTACTCGGGCGTTCTCATGTCTCCGGATGAGACCTCCCATGTGCGTTCCAGCACTTCCTCCGGTATTCCAAGCACGGAGCTCATATCCGCGAGCGTCGGCTGCTCCTGCCTCTTGGCGTTCCGCTTGGCACGCTGTAAAATCTTGTCTTCGTCCACCGGGATCAACCTTT